TTCTTACTGGGAGGTGTGATTTAAAAGAAGGTTGAAAAGTGCCAGTCAGTGTCTGCCCTTCCCTGAAACCAGCCCCTCTAGAATGTAAACTCTAGAAGGGCAAGAGTTTTTGTTTTGGGCAGGGGGTTTCGAGGGAGGGTGCAGAGGGAGAGGGAGAATCTTAAGTAGGTTCCACGCCCAGCAAGGAGCCCCATGAAGGGCTTGATCTCAAGACCCTGAGATCGTGACTTGAGCTGAAATCAAGAGTTGGATACTTAACCAACTGAGTCACCCAGGAGCCCAGAAGGGCAAGCAGGAGTTTGATCTATCTTGCTCACCACTAGTAGTATGTGGAATAGTGCCTACAGGGACGCCTGGGTGGCTCAGTCAGTTAAACATCCAACTCCTGGTTTCAGCTCAGGTCATGATTTCACGGTGGTGAGATGGAGCCCCATGTTGGGCTCCTCACTCAGTGGGGGTCTGCTTCTCTCTCCCCTCTCTCTCCCACTGCCCCTCCCCCCATTCTCTCTCTCTCTCAAATAAATAAATCTTTAAAAAAAGAAAAAGAATAGTGCCTACATATTCAATAAATATTCAACAAATATTCAACAAATATAGTTACTAAATACACAAACTAACCAAATTGGGAAAATTAAAAGTTTGTAATTGTCTTTTGTTTTCATTACCCAGGCATCTTTCTTCCTTTTACAGATGTGTGTTTGAGACAAAATAAAGAAAAACTACTACAGTCATTTCTGTTAAGGGCCTGCAGGCTGCTAAGAACTAGGAAGGACTCCCAGTCCCTTCTAGTTTAGGAAAAGGTTGTGGATGACCTTGATAAGTTCTAGGACTTACGGAGCCCTGGATGGGGAGTGACTAAGCAGCAGAAGGGATCGTGTGAAGGTCCAACTCAGCTTACCATAAAACCATTAGTTTTCAAACTGAGTAGAAAGCAGCCATGCTTTTGAGAAGGTGGTTGAGCCCTTTTGGAACTGAAAGATACAGTCTAGTCCTCCTCCGTCATTTTATAGAGATGGAGTAATCACAAAGAAAGAAATGAACATGAGTAACAGTCTTCAAGTGTGCAGGGAGGGAACAGAGTCAAATTTAGATTAGTTTTTGTTTCCTTTTTATAAAATGGGGATAATATTAGTACCATATCGTAGATAAGCCATTATGATTAACTGAAATAATAAATGTGAAATACTAAGCATAGTGCCTGACCCATAATATGCACTGAATCATTATTAGCTATTATTATTAATATTACCAATAGAACATAAAATGTTTGGAAATATTCAGTGAGGTTTTATTTCCTTGTGCTTCTTTATACTCATTATTTCCTCTACCACTCTGTCATATTCTACAGATATTGTTCTCACACTGAGAGTAGATAAAGCTGAGAATAAAGTCTGTTGAATGTCTGAATGGATTTATTTTAAACTCGTAGTAGAGACAACATCTTGAAAGACAGGACTTTCTTTTATTCTGAAAGCTGTGCATTTTGAGAAAGAACAAAAATGTGTGTGAAACTGTTTCCTGATTTTTGGTTTGGGGCCCAATGCCCACCCCATGAGCCAAATCCCTGGGGAAGTGAACAATAGAAACCCACTATGAGGACAGTGTTTTTCAAATTGGCGGTTGAGACTTACTCTTGGATCATAAAATTGATTTATTTATTGGGTTAAAACAGGCATTAAAAGAGATGAAATGGAATGGAATAGAAAATACCAAAGTACACTGCAAGGAGTCATGCTATGTATTGTTTCATGAAGCTATTGTTTCATTCGTGTTGTGTGCATGTCCTTTGCCATGATGTGAACTCTGTTTCCTATTGTAGTCACAGTCACTGAAATGTGCATGTCACCAGGGATGTCATAGCAGAGGGCACATGTGTCTCTCCTCTCAGAATGTCCCAGGGAGAACAACCGCTCCCAGAGAATTGCCACATCCGGAACGGTGACAGAAGAGTAGAGCAGCGAGGGTCTAGGGTGGCTACACAGAGCCGCAGGTGCCTCGGCAAAATGAGAAAAGGCCTAAAAAGTTACTGTGGCCACCAAGAAGGATGGATAAGAGGCTCTGAGCCTCGGTGGGTTGGCAGAAAGTGTTAGCCAAAGTGAACTGCAAGAACTGGAGTCTGGACCATGAGAATAAAGGCAAGGGGAGGGAATGGTGGACACTTGGCACATCGGGACAATGGGACATGGAGGAAGAGTTGCTTCCGCGGAGGCTGGTGTGGACAGAGCGTCACGATGGGCCGGACACTGCTTTCCTCCCCAAACCAGAGTGATGCATAAGCTCCACCCTCCAGGCACATGTCCTCTGCAGATGCAGAGACTGAAAGGAGTAGAGAGAATAAAGAGAAGGCAATTCCTGAATAGCTACCCAAAAGAGATCATGTTCTAAAACAGAATTGGAAAACAGTATGGAAGCTCCTCAGAAAGTTAAAAATAGAACTACCCTTCGACTCAGCAATTGCACTACTAGGTATTTACCCAAAGAATACAGAAATACTAACTCAAAAGGATACATGCATCCTGATGTTTATAGCAGCATTAACAATAGCCAAACTATGGAAACAGCCCAAATGTCCATCAACTGATGAATGAATAAAGATGTGGTATATATATGCAATGGAATATTACTTAGCCATAAAAAGAATGACATCGGGGCGCCTGGGTGGCTCAGTCATTAAGCGTCTGCCTTCGGCTCAGGTCATGATCCCAGGGTCCTGGGATCGAGCCCCGCGTCGGGCTCCAGGCTCAGCGAGGAGCCTGCTTCTCCCTCTCCCTCTGCCTCTCTCCCTGCTCATGCTCTCTCTCTCTCTCTGTATCTCTGTGTCTCAAATGAATAAATAAAATCTTAAAAAATAAAAAGAATGACATCTTGCCATTTATAACGGCATGGATGGAACTAGAGAGAATTATACTAAGCGAAATAAGTCAGAGAAAGACAAGTACCATATGATTTCACTCATATGTGGAATTTAAGAAACAAAACAAATAATCATAGGGAAAAAAGAAAGAGGCAAACCAAGAAACAGACTCTTATTTATTTATTTTTTTAAAGATTTTATTTATTCCTTTGACAGAGAGAAAAAATAAGCAGGGGGAGGGGCAGAGGGAGAAGCAGGCTCTCTGCTGAGCAGGGAACATGATGTGGCTCAGCCTCAGGACCCTGGGATGGTGACCTGAGCCGACAGCAGACACTTAACCGACTGAGCCATCCACGTGTCCCAAGAAACAGACTCTTAACTATAGATAACAAACTCATGGCTACCAAAGGCGAGGTGGATAGAGGGCTGGATGAAATAGGTGATGGGGAATTTAGGAGGGCACTTGTGATGAGCATCGGGTGTTATCTGTAAGTGTTGAGTCACTAAATTGTAAAGCTGAAGCTAATATTACACTGTGTTAACTAACTGGAATTTAAATAAAAACTTAAAAAAAATTTTTTAAATCACGTATTTTTATTATGTGATGTTATTCTTACCATAATACAAAGGACAAAGCAATATACAATTATGTAGAAAACAGACCTGCCCAGAGAACCAGAAAACAAAGCTTAGTTTTGAATTATAATCCCCCAGTTTAGTGCTTGTATATGGATGAAAAAAATAAAACGGAAGTGTCTGAGTTTGGGACGCCTGGGTGGCTCGGTTAAGCGTCTGCCTTCGGCTCAGGTCATGATCCCTGGGTCCTGGAATCGAGTCCCACATCGGGCTCCTTGCTCAGTGGGGAGTCTGCTTCTCCCTCTGCCTGCCGCTCCCCCTGCTTGTGTTCCCTCTCTCGCTGTGTCTCTCTCTGTCAAATAAATAAATAAAATCATAAAAAAAAGAAAAAGAAGTGACTGAGTTTATCTTGAATTAGGAAAGACTACATTTTATGCCGCCAAGCAGACATGGGAGGTTGAGTTCCTGGTCTGAGGTCAGTTCTAGGAAAATAAAGTTACATCCTTGAACACCAGGGGCTGTGACTGTATAAAATACCAAACCTGACATGTTATTATTAATGAGGCCTTTGGATTTGGCAATGAGAAAGTCATGAGCAATCCCTATAAAAGAGCAGTTTCCGTGGACTGGTTAGGACAGAAGACAGATGGGAACAGGGTAGGGACAGAGTGGTCAGCATAAACTGCTCTTTGGAGACACTGGCAATGGGAGTGGGTGTGGACGAGCATGGACAGCAGGCTTGAGGACAAGTTCTGTTCAAGGGGAGAAACCTAAGGCTTTAGAGGCAGAATTTGTAGGCACCTGAGAAAGGCTCACACAGAGCTATTCTGGGTAAAGATGGGAACCAGGGCTAAAGATAATTTCCAATGTGGTGCACGTTGGAGACATTCTTTTTTTTCAGGTGAACACACAAAATTAGCAAAGGAAAGGCGAAGCCACGCAATGGTACTACGCATTTCAGCACCTGCAAGACGGTGTATAAAACTGCAAAGAGGTGTTCGTAATGGTGTGTGTCCGATCAGGGCTGATCTTTTACTTTTGTCTCCCAGGGCCACCTCCTTCCTGGGGCCCGGAACTGAGTGGCCTCCGAAGATGGGGGGGTCTGCGGGGAGGTTCCAGGTTGGACACTGTGGTCCCCACCCCTCCTCACTGAAACCCCACTGCCCAGGGGCTGCGGGGTTCTGCTGGCTCTCTTCTCCGGCCACCGTTCTGCTGTTCCTTTTCTGTGTCCTCCACCACTAGCTTCTCCACCCAAAGGACCATTCTGCCAAGGACTCCAATGGGGAGTTCAAAACGGAGGCGAGGGATCTCTGCTAAACAAGTCTCGCAGAGGCTGGCTTTCCTCGGGAGACCAGGGCCGCGCGGCTCGCCCCGGCCGCGTCCCCTCTCCCCACCCCCACCCTCTGGTCCAAGGCGGCTCTGAGGAGGCGGCCATGACATCACTTCCTCCGCCGGCATCAGGGCCGCCCGGCCTCACGCGCGCAGCCTTGGGCCGCGCAGCCCAGCGGAAGTGGGGCCGCGACGCGGCTGCGCCCGCCCACGCGCCCCCCTCCTCTCTCGCCCGGCTCACCTTCCACGGCGGCTCGCGGGCCTGTGGAAGCGGTGGGCCATCTTCAGAGCAGCGGCTGCCTGCAGTCTCCCTCCGCTCTTCCAGAAACTACGAGGGGCTGCAGTGAGGAGGAGGCTCCACTAGGTGGCCGCACAAGACCTTGTTTGTTTCGTGCAGGTGCCGGGCTGGTGGCGAGAGACCAGACCCTCCCCAGCCTGCCGCTCTTGTGGGGCAGGTGGGTGGTGTGCGGTGCGTGGGTGGTGTGTGTGTTTAAGGGGTGCTCAGTGGGCAGAACGGAGGGGCAAAGACGGAAGTTTAAGAAAAATCAATATCGAAATACCTAAATTGGGGCGCCTGGGTGGCTCAGTTGGTTAAGCGGCTGCCTTCGGCTCAGGTCATGATCCCAGGGTCCTGGGATCGAGTCCCGCAGCGGGCTCCCTGCTCGGCGGGGAGTCTGCTTCTCCCTCTGACCCTCCTCCCTCTCATGCTCTCTGTCTCTCATTCTCTCTGTCTCAAATAAATAAAGAAAATCTTTAAAAAAAAAAAAAAGAAAGAAAGAAATGCCTAAATTTACAAAACAGTGACGTCATGAGTTATTCATGCCTATTCATAGAAGGAACTCAGAATTAATAAGGAGCAGAATTCCCTTAATACCTTTAATCCTTTTTAGATCATCAGTTGTTTGGCAGAGAAAGTGTTAGCCTACTAACATTTCTGCCTACTGAAAATGGACGGGGCGGGGGTGGGGTGGGGGCGGCGAGGATGGTGCGTGAGACCTGCACTCCTCTAAGAATCTGACTTGTACATTCATTTTCATTCATGATCAGAAATTTCATGAGTGCCTACTATGTGCCGCAGCCTGATTAGGCCTGAGGATACAGCTGTGAACAAGACTAACAGGACCTTGCTCTCTCACATAACTCACATTTTCAAAAAGTTCACATAATAAAGATTGGATACAATTTCTCTAGCTCTGTTATTCTATGATTCCATGACTCTACGCTTCCTTTGCCTAGCCCTCACGTGTAGAAGTATGGGATAATAAGATACAGTTAATCCACCAACATTAGATGCACACATGTTTCCTGGAATAAAGTTGCGATATAATTTCCAGTACTTGGTCATTATGCCATCAGGGGTTCCGTGAAGAGACGATGTCGTGGAATTTCCAAGCCTCTCCTCTTTATCTATCACCCACTTTTTAAATGATCTGCCAGGGCCAGAGCAGACCATCTGAGATGTGGGCCACTCCTAGGGCAGAAAGAACAGCAGGGATACTGAAGAATAAAGACTGAAATACTCAGCTGGAAAATAAGCAAGAAAAGTGTTTCAAAATCCAGAATACCAAGAAGAATGTGGAAAAACTCAGAATACAAAGGTGTGGCAATACAAAGCACTGCCAAATTTATTTCTCCAGCCAAATCAAACATGACACAATGGAAGCTAGCTTCCAGACTCCCCACATGAGAAAGTACAAATTCTAGTCAGTGTGGAAATCACCAATGGGTCTGGGAGTTGTCTGGCTTGATCTGCAAGAGGGCGGCATGTGCTTTGTGTGTGTGCGTGCGTGCTTGCGTGTGCACGAGCACAGATGAGAGCTAATTAGAGGAAAGACTATTCACATGGAATCATAGAACAACAGAGCTGGAAGAGCTCATTTAATCCATCTTCTCATGTTAGAGTTGTAGAAATTGGGCCTACAAAAGGAAGGATCATGCCCAAGATCAGAGAAGAATATAACCCACTATCTTGTCTCCCAGTTCTCAACTTGTCTATATTCTGTGTTCCACAAGTGTTATAGAGGTGTGAGTTGCCTTTCTTAGATGGATTTGATTTTCCTTTACATGTTATATAGGTTAAATGATGATCTCCCTCCTCCCCAAAGATATATCTACCTGGAACCTGTGAACGTGGCCTTATTTGGAAAAAGGGTGTTTGTGGATGTAATTAAGGATCTTGAGATGAGATTATTCCTAATCAGGGTGTTCCCTGAATCTAGTGACAAGTGTCTTTATAGACATTTTAGGGGAGAAGATACATAGAGAAGAAAGTGCTATGAAGACAAAGGCAGAGATTGGAGTGATACATCTACAAACCAAAGAATGCTGAGGATTGTCAGCACCCACCAGAAGCTAGGAGAAAGGCATGGAATGGATTTTCTCTTAGAGCTTCCAGGAGGAACCAACCTTGCTAACACCTTGATTTTAGACTTCTGACCTCCAGATTTATGAGAGAATAAATTTCTATTGTTTTAAGCCACCAAATTTGGGGTAATTTGTTACAGCAGCGGTAGCAAACTAACCCATATGTATTTCTCAGTTCCTTTCTTTTCTCATCTCTTCCTCATCTTGGAAATGAGTTCTTTTAACACAATAACACTTACGTGAGGCCATTGGCAGAAGAGGCTATTGGCAGAAGAAAGATTGCTTAGGGATAGTGCTCTTGGAAGAATCTGAAAATGTTGGACATTAAGGAGCCACTAACTGAAACCAGCCTCAGAAACCCTAACCCCCAAAGTGATGGTATTAGGCATTAGGGCCTCTGGGAGGTTTTTTAGGTTTAGATGAGGTCACAAGTGTAGGGCCCACGATGAGGGCAGTGTCTTTTTGAGAAGAGGAAGAGAGCAGAGTCTTTTGAGGACACAGCAAGAAGGCAGCTATATGCATGCCAGAAAAGGAGCTCTCACCAGAACCCAACAGTGCTAGCACTCTGGTTTTGGACTTGCCAACCTCCAGAACTGTGAGAAATAAATTGTTGTTTAAGCCACACAGTCTGAGGTGTTTTGTTAGAGCAACCTGAGCTGACTGAGATGGACCAAGATAGACACAGAGATGCCTCAGCCCTTGTGTACAGATACACATAAGGTCCGGGAACATAAAAGTCAGTCTTAGCAGTTAGGTGGCTGGAGAAACAGCACAGCAGGACTTCCAGTCCGGTGAACAGAAAGAGGAAAGGAAGGAATGTTGATCCTAGTTCAGGTCAGCTATGAGCACAGAAATGCTAGAGAGAGACAACAGCCTGGTGACCCTGAGGGCTTAGGGAGGAGAGACATGAGCTGCCCAGAGGTCCTAAGGCAAGCAGCCTCACATTCTAGAGAGACACAGACAGGCACACAGTGAGGTCCTTGGTGTCTATCCCGTCCAGTCCCTGATTTTCTCACTTGGGATCATTTGAATTTCTTTTCCAGCTCTCTGAGTTCTGCTCCCAAGGTTTATGTGGTCACTGAAAACCAAAGAGTCATAGAGTTGAAGAGAATGTTCAGGGTCATTCAAAATCTCCTCCCACCCTAGGAAACTGACACTGAAGTCCTTCCAGTCCAGTAGGGTTTGCTGCCTTCAGGGTTCCTAGGCTCTCTTGCTGCTTTCTTTAGAAAGTCCTTTTTATCTCAAGGAGATCTTTCCCCTAAGCTCTGGGATTGGTCAGTGCATACTGATGGGGGCAGGATCTCCTGCGGAAACATGCGGGCTAAGTGGTTCCCGTTACCATCTGGTCTATGGTCAATCCCCTGGAAATCCCAGGGGCCACCCACCAGGGAGAATAAGGCACGGACCTACAACTAGGTAACACAAGAAAGCTTCAAAGACCTGTGGTATTGATAGCCCAGGTTTGTTGCTTCTTATCCACTCACACAAGCCAGCCTCCAGATCTTAGGAGCAGGGGCTAAGAGGGAGACTCTGATCCACTGATACATTAGTCTATGTATCTGGCCTGGGTATGGTCATGAAGACCAGGGCTAGGCTAGACCAGGCAAGGAGGCATAGCCAGAGTATCCGTCCCTGACAGTCTAGTATATGTGATAAAATCTCAGTTCAATTTGTATCACACACAATCTCAGAGAGACAGGGAAGTTCATGACATTGGCCAAATACAGGTCACCATAAGAAATCCCTTAGATTTGGATCGAATCTCATAGACCTCAAGGAAAATCAGATATGTGCCACTTTGAGAAACCTAGAATGGGAATTTCTACATAACAGATATACTAGGGAAACAATGATGGCTCACTTTTTTGTGGGGGTAGGGGTTGGGGTGGGTAATGACTTTGTGGGGAGAGGTGGGGAGGGTCATACCTCAAGTGAATTTAAAATAGAAATGGAATTATAAATAATACTAAGGGCAAATCTATTGCACAATGCCTTCAAGTTTATTTTTCCTTTTCATGTGGTTGTTGGCAAATATCTGGAATGGGCAACAGGATCATCCTTTTGGGAGGCTTTCTCTTTGGGTTTCTCAGTGTTGCAGAAATAAACACACAACTTTAATTTGTTCCCCAAAGAAAGGGATAATAAAAAACAACCACTCAAAACTAGTCAGAATTGCTAGAAGAGCCAGGAAATAGCTTTTGTGATCGGTTAGTTTGTTTTTCTTCGTAGTTTTCTGGGAAGTATAATCAAGACAGCAGCTGCCCTTTGGGTAGCGCATTTATTCCAAGGGCCGAAGGATTGATGCATTTGCTGAAACTATCTCTTTGACAGAGCCCATGGCTCCCCCAGAGCTGGGCTCAGCTGTTGCTTGAATAAGTCAATGGTGTCATTCTAATGAAAAGCAGGACAGCAGCTATGGAACTTGGTTAGAAGTAACATAGTCTGATGAATTCCACCTTGAGCCCAAACTGAGGTTCACACATGTCAGAGAATGTACCCAAACTACTGAGTGGACAGGAAGAGTCAATTTACAGGTTTGTTGGATGGGGCTGAAAGAGAAAGGAAGACATTTCATGACGACTGGTGGGGTGAAAATGAAAGCCCAGCATGCAATTTTTTCCCTACCTGGCACCTTAGCCTGGTCTGAGCTCCACAGAATAGGTTCTGAGCCAGAGCTATAGAATTGGTCTTCAGAAAGGACTCTCTGTGAGGACTTGAAGCAAGAGTAGAATTCTTATGTCCCCGTATGGACAGGGGACATTGGAGAGAGCTGGAGCCAGAGAAAAGGGGATGAACCTGGGGAATCTTTGTGTAAACAGCAGTAACTCGGTCACAATTCATATGGACATGTGAGACATCTCCGGGGAGTCTGGGTGGGACTTCGTTGAAACAGGTAGGAGGTCTTCACTAAGCATGTGACAAGAAGAATCAGTAAAATGAGGGTTACTGCTATT